CCTCTTGTTTTATTGACCCATTAAATCATTATGTAGTGACCTTCCTTGTCCTTTGTGATGGTTTTTGCATTGAAATTTATTTTATCAGAGATTAATATTGCTACTCCTGCTTTTTTCTGGTTGCCATTTGCTTGGTATATTTTCCGCCCACCCTTTAAATTTTAGTCTTTCTTTGTCTTCACTTTTCAGGTGTGTCTCTTGTAGACAGTATATAGATGGATTTTGGGGGTTTTATCCAATCTGCTACTCTTTTTCTTTTTAGTGGTACATATAAACCATTCACATTCAGTGTGATTACTGAGAGGCAAGATTTTATTGCTATTATTTTGTTGAGTTCTTTTTGGTATTCCTGGTTACTTTGGTCCATTCATCTTTCTGTGTTACCTCTGTAAAGAGGACATCTCTCAGTATTCCTGCAACGCTGGTCTTGTTTTTACAAATTCCCTTAGGTTCTGCTTTTCTGATAATATCTTGCTCTCTCCTTCATATTTGATGGATAGTTTTTTCTGTGTACAGTATTCTTGGTTGACAGTTGTGTTCTTGGAGTGTTCGATATATGTCATTCTACTGTCTTCTTGCTCTCTTGGTTTCTGTTGAGAAATCGGCGCTTAATCATATCTGCTATACCTTATAGGTTATTCTTTGTTTCTCCCTCACTGCTTTCAGGATTCTCTCCCTATGTTTGGTTCTGGCAAATTTCACTATGAAATGCCTTGGTGTTTTTCTTTTGAGGTCTGTTCTATATGATGTTCACTCAGCTTCTTGAATATATATGGAATACCAGACGAATGTCTATCTATGTTTTATTGACTTTGCAAAGATGTTTGGCTGTGTGATCATGACAAGTTCTGGCTGACGTTGAGGAGAATGGGAATCTCAAAACACTTGATTGTACTCATGAGGAACGTATACCTCGATCAGGAGACTCTTTTGTCAACATAGCAAGGGAGCACTGAATGCTTTGGAATTAGGAAGGGAATGTGTCAGGGATGTATTCTATCTCCATACTTCTTCAGCCTCTATGCTGAGCAAATTATCCAAGAAACTCAAGTCTGTAAAGAGGAATGTGGCATCAGGATTGGAGGGAGACTCATTAATAACTTGTGTTTTGCAGATGACACAACCT